TAACTGCCATGTGATAGAAGAAAGACCTGACTCAATTGAGGTACATTTTAGGAATAGTCAGTCACCTGACGTGACTATCCTGCAGGTGAATGATGCAATCGCACCTGTAGATGAGCATTCCGTAAGAATTGCTCCAGAGAGGATCCAGAATGTCTCTCTGGAAGGTGATGTTTTAACCATTTCTCTCCACAGGGACTATGTTGAATCTGTAGATCTGGCAGGTCATGCTCAATTCCTTGCCAGAATTGAAAGGGTTAATAACAATTTATTCTTTCCTATGCAAATACATGACTTAGGAAGAAGTAGGAATGCAAAGCTGGACTTACAGAGAGAGAACAGCTATATTAGCAGAAGTCTGTTAAAGCAGATAGCTAATCCTAAAATGATCAGGTACGCTTCCCCACATGACAGGTGGATCCAGAACCTGGATGGCGAATCAGAGAGTCACAATGTGATAGCAAAATGTTTACTATCTATTTCCATCGGAAATAAGACAGTTAAACATTTATTCTTAGTGATAGACGAACCTCGCTATCAGGTTTACGTCGGCAATGATGTCATACATCGCTTTGCCATACACCTTGACCTGATTAATTCCAACTTGTGGACAAGGTTAAAAGGTAATCCTTGTGGATACCTACACGAGGAAAACGCCCTGAAATCAGGACAAATACTCCCATATGCGGTAAGTATCCAAGTTCCTGATGACATAACCATTCCACAGGGGACAAGTAATTTTCTTTTACCCCTACAGGTCAAGGAGGGTCAGAGATTGGAAAACTCTGATGCCCTAATCTGTTTATCCAACAGGATACAACAATTAGGGATGGTGGTAACACATACACCAATGGTAAGTATTGGTAAGAATCCCACCTATATCATGGTCAACAATGTTACACCCAATAGTGTTACTTTACCAAAAGGAAAATTTTTAGGTCTAGCATTGGATGCTGAGTACTATACATTTGGTTTCCAAAACCAAATTATAGGCCTCATCCCTGAAGAATTATTCACTATCCTATCTGTGTATCCCTTCAACATCGAAGAAGGCTTGTGTAAAATCGAAGAAGCATCTATCACCTTCGATCATCCGCTCAATGAGCAGGAATCACAAGAGTATCACGACCAAAGAGAAAAGGTAAGTCAACACCGAACTGACCTAACTTCTAGGCTTGAAGAAGCTTACGAGATAGGCCAGCCTAAAATCTTTCCAGGATTTCAGGAAAGGCTAGAAGAGCAATTATCTTTAGCTGACGGGTGCTCCAACGATGCTGAGCGGCAACAGCTAAAGGAAATCCTTTTGGAATTCCAAGATATTTTTGCCAAAGATTCCTATGACTGTGGGTTAACTAACCTCCACGTAGCCAGAATACAAACTGATCCAGATTTACCACCTGTATTTATCAAACAATATAGACTCCCATTAGCGTCATATGATGGACTACAAGACATCATTCAGAATTTAAAGGAAAGGGGCATTATACATCCAGTGCACAGTTCGTATAATAATCCAATCTTGGGGATTCTGAAACCTAATGGACAATGGCGTTTATGCGCTGACTTACGACAGCTAAATAAACGCGTCTATATGTCTGGTTGGCCAACGCCATACATAGACCAATGTTTGGTACAAATGCAGGGATCCAAAATATTCACTGCCATTGACTGTGCGCAGGGATATTGGACTGTACCAGTCCATAATGAAGACCAATACAAATTGGCCTTCACATTTGGAAAGCAGCAGTATACCTGGACCCGTATGCCTTTCGGTTATATAAACTCTGGTCATGAATTCGCTGTGTTCATGCATAAAGCTATGCCTGACGCACTCGAGAGAGGAACGTTATCATATGTCGACGATGTCTTGCTGAAAAGCACTTCCTTTGATAAGCATATCTTAGAGATTAGACATGTTCTCACTCAGTTAAGAGAGGCAGGGATTAAACTGTCTTTACAAAAGGCGCAATGGTGTCGCACCCATGTCAATTTCCTCGGACATGAGGTAACTTCTGAAGGATTAAATCCCCAGAGGAAGAAGGTTGAAGCCGTACTAAAGGCTAAAACACCTTCAAACATCAGGGAATTAAGATCGTTCCTTGGTATGACTAACTACTCCCGTAAGTTTATAGATAACTATGCAGAAATAACTAAACCACTCTTACACCTGCTTAAAAAGGAAACTACCTGGAACTGGGGGGAGCCTCAGGACCAAGCGGTAAGTGAACTGAGGAGGAAGCTCACTCAGGCACCCTGTTTAGCATACCCAGAGGGGGGTAAACCCTTCTATCTGGAGACAGGATATACCGATTTAAGCATCAGTGCTGTTCTGTATCAGAAGCAGGACAGTTTAAACAAAGTTATTGCATATGCTAGCAAGACTTTGTCACCTGTTGAAGTTAAATTCAACACGTGTGAGAAGGCGTTATTGTCGACTGTATGGGCACTACAAAATTTTCGTAGCTATAACTAAGGTGAGAAAATAATTGTAGAAACAGCTCACCAACCTCTACAGTATCTGCAGAGTGAAAGAATTAGAGACGGTCGGATTACGGCATGGACTCTATCCTTACAGGGATGGCCGTTAGAAGTCCGTTATAAACATAATAAGAGAAGCCCAGTTGCCCAAGGTTTAGCAGAATTACATGACTGTACTGCTCCATCTCTGGATAATAATGACACCGGAGATGACTTCCTAGAAGAGCAATTGCTATCTCCTTATAAAGTTTATGACGAGGAATACTGTCGACCACTACCGTGGGTATACATTGATGGTTGTTCATATCACCACGTCGCTGGTGCTGAACGGAAGTTAGTTGCAGGTATCGGAATCGCCTGGACAGGTGATTATCCTAATGTATCTATAGGATACAATATTGGTCCCAAAAGCAGTCAGATAGCCGAACTCTGTGCAGTATATAAGACCATTCAAATGGCAATAGAATATGGTATCAAAGAATTTGTTATTATAACTGATTCCAACTATGTTCGCAACAGTTTCGTCGAATATCTGCCTAGCTGGAAACGTAACCAAATGCTGAAAAGCAATAACAAACCTGTTAAACATGGGAAATTGTTTTGTAAAATCGATGAACTGGTTAAGGAAAATGGTTTATCCATATATTGGAAGAAAACCAAAGGCCATTCTAAAATAGAAGGTATTGACAAGGATGGTAATGACTTAGCTGATTCACTGGCAAAACAAGCTGCCATCAATGGTGAAACCCTAAACATTGATGATCTTATGGGTTCAATTCATGTTGAAGCCATAACTAGACGACAGGCCAGAGATAATGCCGACTTAAACGTCGTGCAATGGAGTCAAGAAGCTCCTAGTGAGGACCTGATTACTAGTCAAAAGAACGATCCCGTCATAGGCATATTCTATAGACATATAGAAGACCCTACTGCCAATCGCATCACAGATGAGGATTGCAAAAATAATGAAGATTTACGAATCTTGATGAGATATAAAGTCCAATTTAGTATCATGGATGGGTTGCTGGTCAGAACTTCTAAACATGGTATACAACAATGGGTAGTCCCAACTGTATACAGAGGGTTAATGCTCCAACATGCACATGATGCACCTACATCTGGGCATCGTGGTGATAAGATCACATATGAGATATTGCGTGATTATGCATATTGGCCACACATGTTAAGGGATGTTAAGACATACTGTCAGGGATGCTTGATTTGTCCGCAATATCAACCCCATGGTCCAACCCATCGTGCACCACTTCAGAAGAGGGGGGTGTCATTACCCTGGTCTGATATTCAAATTGACTTTATAGGTCCTGTAACAAGATCTTCAAGAGGTAACAAATACATGTTAACCGTTACATGTATGTACACAAAGTGGATAGAATGTTTGCCTTGAAAAGAGAACACGAGTACCGTGTGCGCCACTTTGTTGATTAACCATGTCTTTTCCAGGTTCGGTCTGCCTCAAAGAATTGAGTCAGACAGAGGTAGTCATTTTACCAGCGAAGTAATGGCTAAGATGTGGAACATTCTAGGTGTTAAACGAAAGCTACATATTGCATACCGCGCTGCGTCTAGCGGGGGGGTAGAGCGATATAACCAGTCTATCGTTAATATTCTGAAGAAATATGTTAAGGAGTCTGGTAAAGACTGGGACATTAAATTGCCCCTAGTTTTAATGGCGATTAGAGCTACACCTAGCACTGCTACCAAATTGTCACCTTTTGAATTGATGACAGGAAGAAAGATGGTTTTACCACAGCATTTACTATATCGTACTTCAGATCATAACTTGATCAATGCTGCCACTACGCATCAGTATATCGAAGATTTGCGCAAGCATTTACAGCATGCGTTTGCTTTTGCCCAAAAGAATCTAGAAAAAGCAGCGACAGGGGTTAAGACCTATTACGATCTAAAAACCACGAAAAAGGAATATGAGATAACAGATCAAGTCTATCTGTATAACTTTGCGCGAAATCAAGTCAAGGAAAATAAATTTTTACCTTCTTGGAAAGGGCCATATGTCATTATTGACAAAATTTCCCCAGTAGCGTACAAGATAAAAATTCCTAAGGATGGTGATTTTATTGAAAAGTGGGTTCACATTAACCAGTTGCGTGCTTGTCATCCTAAATCTCAATTAAGGATTATAGGTGTGGATTCAGACGCAGAAGGATGAACGACTAACCTGGATGAATGCTTGATTCATGTGGTATAGTATGATGTGAAATGTTGTGATGTGCCATGATCTTATGTACGTTCATGTCATTAACCATTTCCTTGCCATCCAATAACTACATTTTCTAAGCAGGTTACTAGCTTGTTTAGCTGCTATAGGCGAATTACTGAAAAGCCAGTAATAAATGTAGTGAGGGATGAAGTTATAAAAATAGAATTAGACAGAATACATATGTGATGAATCATAAAAATGTGTTGACCTAGGCCAAGTGATGTCACACTGTTATAAGTTTGTATGCTTAACAAACCTTGAATCATTAGTAGATAAGTCTGAAACGAGTTCCTGATCCGTGACTGTCGAAAGATGTCCAAGAAGGATGTGGCGTGTTTCTGGATCGTACTGCTCCTGTGCCAAGAGCTACGGACCGACCCGATCGCAGAGATGGGACCATCCTCTGGCATCCTGATTCAAGAGACACCAGGGTTCATCTTAACGGAGAAGAGGATCCTGACCCGACGTGTGTTCGTCAGCTTGGACCCCAAGATTTCCATCGAGAAGGCATACAACATTTCATCGATGCAGCTTCCTGAGTTACAGACTTGGTACCAGATGCACCTCCAAAGAGCACAGGACCGTGTGCGAAACATCTTGGAGCAAGCCCGGAAACCATTTGTATCCAGTTCTATTCCGATGAGCAACCGACCCAAAAGGTTCCTCACCGCTATAATTGTTGCATTAGTTTGTGCCACTGTCGGTGCAGTTGTCGCAACTGGAATGTCTGCAGCCAACTCTATTACTGTCCAAAAGCTGGATATGGAAATCTATGCGCTAAAGCAACACATTAACGATATTCATCAGGTGATAAACCAGCAAAGAACACTTCTCCAAGACGTGTTAACTATTGTGGAAGACACAGTTGTTACAACGAATTTGCATTCGGAATTAATTGCCAAATCCACTGAGTTGCACCAAAGTCATGACTTATTCAAGCGTGAACTTCTATTTCTGCATGACCCAATATTGTTCCACACACTTGCTTTTCTTGACGAAGTGCAAACTGGAATGATCGAATTGGCAGGGGGATGCATACCTCTGTATTTTGTATCCAAGGATATTGTTCATGCGATGCTTGCCAATGTGGATGGAGAGACAATTGAGCCTATGCAATTAAATCTGGCCTTTGAGATGGGGAGCGCTATACCTCTCTTAATTGATCCGGAATGTATGGAGATTTGCTTTTTATTGGCCATACCATATGTAACTCTCAAAGACATTTTTCAAATGAAAACAATGTACTATGATAATAATGATATTATGGTTGATTGTACTAAGTGTAAAGTTCAAAACTCTTACAGGTACAAATATATACAAAAATGTTCATTCCACGCACGGGCCTATGTTAGAAATGATGTGATTGCACAATATGTCTGGTAACTTCTATAGTGCTTATTCATAAGCTAAATTAATTTTGGCTATGAAATGCACTAAAGGGGGGTTATGTCAGAGTATTTATATCGGCAGACATTTTGTGCTATGATAGAAACTAAAAGTGTATATTCTGAGTCACTCTGAACAGACCAGACTCCATTTTGTTATTCCAAGTTAACAAAAACAAAGAGACACAGGATTTCTTTCTGTAAGACTGGCCTCTTTGCCAGAGCTAAGGAATGCATAGTATAAACAAGTGATAAGAAGAATATAATCAAATCTAAACCCAGACAATTGTGACAGAGAAGATTAAATAATTTAATATTTAACTGTCTATATATATATAAGGTACCATTGTATGGAAAAGGGTAAACTTAGTTCACGATCTGTCATATCAGAAATTATGGCAGGAATTGCAGACGCTAAGTCTGGACAAAACTTTAAGAAACCCTTTGAAATCTGAATTATGACCACCATAAAGATAGGCCAAAATGACGTCAAAATAGCCACCAGGAAAAGTTAACTCTTTCCTGGATAGGTATGTTTAGTGGGACAAGACTGCCCTCTATAGACCAAATACCTAATTTGCGATCTGGAAGATAACCACACCTCTAGTGCTTCTATTGGGTTATCAACTGATGACGTACAGAGAGTCTGGCCCTTTAAAAGTTAAGACAAAGGGAAGATAGAGGAAGGGGGCAGATGCAGGACATATGCAAAGGAGAGGAGAGAGGAATTGGAAGTTTGGGGACTCCAACTCGGACAACATCTGAGACTAACACTCTACTCCTAAAACTCTAACACTTAGAATTTACTGACTTTCACCAACACCTCCATGCAGAGAGACATCCAAATAAGTTCCTGAGACTATCTACCAATCGGATGAAATATCTACTCAACTGGTAATTATACTGGTTTCATTTAATTAATTAAATTAATTAAAATGTATTAATAGCATTATATATGACTGGATAAAGCACGGTCAGATTTCCATATTAAGAAATCTTAGTTAACTAAAGAATATATAGTTATAAACATTCCATTCTGCAGGTGGAATTAAGAATAATTATATATTGATGTGATATTATCACGTGTTAGCATACCGCTGTTTTTATCCAGGTGTATTGATTTGCTCTAAATTAAGATAGATATCTTTTAGACAAATTAAAAATCTGCTTATATAATATGGTAGATTCTCTTATTGGATGATTTCAGGAAATGACTAATGAACTGGGTTAAATGTTATTTTATTTAAAAATGACATAAGAATAGATCTACCTAGGAGATCTAGCCAGCATTGAAAGGGTTATTCTAACTGTCAGCTAAACTTTACGACCTTACGCTGCACTCTGAGGAATTCTGTTCTTCTGTGAAAAGTTTCACTATGTCTGTGTAAGCATAGTCATAAATTATAAAGTCTTGACAGAAAATGCTGTAATAGCCATTGAAACGTAATACCCGTTCCTTTGTATTGCATATCATTTTATACTGAATATTCATTGATTATTGTCATGCATGTTACATAATATTATTTGTTAATTATTGTTTATCATAAATAAAATCTATTTTTATACATTGTGATTATTTATATGAAATACTTTCCACTTAACACGATAACCGTTCTTTGGGATCTGAGAATTGAATTAGTGGGCAATTCTCACTGTTACTATTATTATCCCATAAATATCCCCACAATAGCCTGGGTCTGAGTGCATATTATTGGCGAATAGCGCTCAGATCCCATACGCACAGTTCAATCGCCATGGAGTCAAAGTCTATTACAGTTCTTCGGTCTGCGATTGACTCCATGGGAAGGCTATCTGGGGTAAGTCCATTTGTGCCTTTACATCTCCCGAGCGGCCGGTGTTCGCACACTTCTGTCGATTGAGAAGGCAGGTCGACCGCTTCAGCGGTATTCGGTTGAAAAAGTGTCCGTTTTCAGTTGTAATTGGGATCAATAGGTTAACCAGCAGCACACTTCTCTTCTGGGTGGCCGTCCGTTCGGCAGTTCCGTTCGACAGAAAAGTACATTCCCTTAGACAAGGCATAAGAACGGGTAAATTCATGCAAACGGCAAAACAGACGAACACAGCAATCCTAGTTCATACGGATGGGTCTGTCACATGGACTGTGTATATGGATACAGTGCCAACTATGGCACTGTATCAAGGGAAATGTGTTTTGTTTTTTAATAATCCCTGGTGGAAAATAATGAATCCTCCACCAGGGATTAATAATAAAAAAAAAAAAACACACACATTGTGTCGGGGGTGGGGCTTAACATGAGGAATGGGCGGGGTCAAACTGTGGCGAGGGCTGGGTTAAATGTGTCCCCCTACTTTTGTCCCTGGCCCACCATGTGCCCCCCTAAAATGAATCCTAGAGAAGCCACTGCCTAAAGTGGTCCTTTAACATTAAGCTATAAGATAGTTGCTTGATTTTTAAGTATTTCTGCTTATGTTTACATTTCTAAATTAGGGTTAACTCCTTCACTGCCCTACGATTTCCCTTTTATACAACTAGCTTCCAACGCTTTCTTTAACTACTTATTTCCATTATATAATGCATTATATTACCACCTGCTTAATCTTGTCTATTCAAACATTTCTGAAGAGTGAAAGCTTCAAACCAAGCTGAAATAAGTCCATGATACACTATCTAGGAGTCTAAATTTGGTTTTGTCTGGACTTTTAGTCTAGGAAATTGGTTAATTAACAAAAAAAATATATTGTATAAATAATTTTTGTGGTATTGAAGCCTCTCTGTGTGTTGTAGTGACCGTCCTGGAATATTTGTGCCGCCTGATCCAAGGGAACTGATTATAACCAGTCTCTTCTGGCTAACCCTAAATGAAGTTGAAATTGCGCTTGTTTCGCCACACGCCATGCCGTCCAAAGATGCTGAGATATTTATGAGCACATAAACTGTGCACTCAAGTATTTGGAGAATCCTGAAGGTTTTGTATAATGCCGCAAGCTCTCGGAATAACCTTCTAGAAATCTGGAAGTAATGTACGGAGCCTTGTGGTGAAAGTCCAGCAACACAAGGGAGTGCTGTTAACTAGTGATGTCCTGAACGGTTCGCCGAACGGTTCGCCACGGACTCATCATTGAGTTAACTTTGACCCTGTACCTCACAGTCAGCAGACACATTCCAGCCAATCAGCAGAAGACCCTCCCTCCCAGACCCTCCCACCTACTGGACAGCATCCATTTTACATTTATTGTGAAGCTGCATTCTTAGTGAGCTGTCCAGGAGGTGGGAGAGTCTGGGAGGGAGGGTTTGCTGCTGATTGGCTGGAATGTGTCTGAGGACTGTGAGGTACAGGGTCAAAGTTTACCCAATGATGAGTCCGTGGCGAACCGTTCGTGGCGAACCGTTCGCGAACCGTTCGGCGAACCGTTCGGGACATCACTACTGTTAACATGTGGAACCTGATATTTAATTTCAGTCAGCCATCTTGCTGCTGTCATCAATTTTATGGAGTCTAAACTATCTAGCACAAACTGTGTTTTCTTCTGCTGTGTAAAAGACTATTTTTTTTCTTTTTTCTGGTCTATGCTAAAATATGTCTAAAAAGGAAGGATCCACAGAAGGGACCTGTAATGACTGGAATTCACCCTATTTTTGTTGGCCTTATATGACACACAACACCTAACCTATTACTATATCATATGCATAATGAGTTATTATTATTGCCATTTATATAGCGCCAACAGATTCCGTTGCGCTTTACAATATTATGAGAGGGGGGATTTAACTATAAATAGGACAATTACAAAAAACTTACAGGAACGATATGTTGAAGAGGACCCTGCTCAAACAAACTTACATTCTATAGGAGGTGGGGTGTAAAACACAATAGGACAGGAATTTACAATCAAATAAGGTGGGAATGAGGCAGAGCTGGAGGACAAAGTAGAGTGCTGCCCTTTAGGAGAGAGCAAGAGACAGCTATGTAAGGTAGAGGTAGAGGCCATAAGCTTTCCTAAAGAGGTGGGTTTTAAGGCACTTCTTAAAAGATGCAAGACTAGGGGAGAGTCTGAAGTCCTGCAAACGTGAGTTGGCTGTATGGGTGCGAACAACAGACAGGAGGTGGTCACGGGCAGGGCGGAGAGACCGAAAAGGGACATACCTATGGATCTGTGAAGAGATATAAGAGGGGCTAGAATTGTTCAGTGCTTTATAGGTGTGAATTAGTACCTTGAATTGACTCCTATAGCATAGAGGAAGCCAATGTAAGGCCTGAAAGAGCGGTGAGGTGTGAGAGAACTGACTAGAGAGGAAAATCAGTCTGACGGCAGCGTTCATTATGGACTGTAGTGGTGCAGTACAGCTTTTGAGAAGAGGGTTACAATAATCCATGCAGGAAATTACTAGAGCATGGACAAGCTCCTTGGTAGCATCTTGCGTAATAAAGGGGTGAATGCGGGCTATATTTTTAAGATGGAATCTACAGGATTTGGCAACATACTGGATGTGAGGCTCAAAGGTGAGGCCAAAATCAAGTATGACGCCAAGACAGCGCGCTTGCAAGGATGGACTTATGTGGATACCATTAACTTGAAGGGAGAACGAAAGAGGAGGATCAGTATTAGGAGGAGGAAAGACAAGGAGCTCAGTTTTAGAGAGATTGAGTTTCAGAAATCGGGAGGACATCCAGTCAGAGATGGAAGAAAGGCAAGCAGTGACACGTTGCAGGACGGCAAGACAGAGGTCCGGGTAGGAGAGACATATCTGGGTGTTATCAGCGTACAGGAGGTAGTAGAATCCAAAAGAGGTTATAAGTTTGCCAAGAGAGGCAGTATAAAGAGAAGTTAGAAGGGCATCAAGTACAGAGCCTTGGGGGACTCCAACCGAGACAGGACGAGGTGAGGAGGTGTCATTAGAAAAGGAGAAACTGAATGAGCGTTGGGAGAGATAAGAGGAAAACCATGAGAGGACAGAGTCACAGAGACCGAGAGATTGAAGAGTTTGAAGAAGGAGAGCATGCTCAACGGTGTCAA